GAGATAAAGCGCCTTAAAAAGTTTATTTGGCCTAGAAACCTTTGCAATTTTTTTTTTTTTGTTGCTAGGAGGTTGTGCCTAAAAAATGGCATTCACTTTATTCTTATCAAGTTCAATCCATCTTTTGTGCACTAGAAAATCAAGGAAATTTTCCGCATTAACACCAAATGCACATTTCAAAAGATTCAACTTTAGTTTGTAATCCTCATTCGCTCAAATGAGCGTTTTAGTTGTTCAAAATTGTCTCTCTTTAATAGATTTAACCACTATATCATCTACATATACTTTGACAAATTTGCCTATCATATCATGAAAAATCAAGTTCATTGCCCTTTGATAAGTTGTCCCTACATTTTTCAGGTCAAAAGGTATAACTACCCATTCAAAGCATCCTAAAGCTAGGACATCTAAAGACAGTTTTGTGTATATCTTCTTCAACTATGTAAATCTGATTGTATCCTGAATATCCATTCATAAAAGAATACATCATGTGTCCGGCAGTTGAATCTACTAAAGAGTCTACCGTGAGCATTGGATATTCATATTTGAGCGTTGCTAAGTTTAAAATTTTAAAATCTATACACCTTTAACTTACCATTCTTTTTTTAATACTGGCACGATATTAGACAACCATTCAACATATATGGTTGTCCTAATAAAACCCGTTTTTAACAATCGCTCAATTTCTTTTTTTACCACAGAAAGTACATTAAGGGCAAAACGCCTAGGAGGTTGTTTATAAGGTTTAAAATTTGGCTTATTTGGTAATCTATGTTCTACCAATTTTTTATCTAAACCAGACATGTGTTCATACTCCCAAACAAAACAATCCTTACATTCTTTTAATAAAGTGATTAATTTATTACTAACCTCTTGACTAAGCATCTAGTTGACAAATGTTGGGCGATCTTCTCCTTCGTCACTGATATTCACCCTAACCAAGGGGTATTGTGCTTGCGCATGCCTAGGTTTTGTGATCCCTATTACCTTGTCATCTAGGTTCCTTGTGAGCACTTCCTCTTCTAAGCAATCCACCTTGTTGATTTCTGGCCCATATTCTGCTCCAACTCGAACACTACCAATTTGTCTTCCAACATCTTTAATGTTATTTCTTCTCTCAACTTATCTTTACATTCTTTATTGAAAGCCATTAGCTTAGCCTTGAAAGCCCGAATATCGACAATTTGTCCTTGTTGCGACAACTCATTTAAAATTCCTTAATTACCTTTTGCCCAATTACTGGCTTTTTTAGGGCTACTATGTTTGGCCTCGTTTAACTGAATATTTCAGTAAGTGTATCTACTAAAAATGGCTCTTTACTCTGTACGACAATTTGAGTCTCTTCTTCATCTTGAACTACTCGACAGGTCCATAGTTTCTTTCGTACATGAACCTTTCTACTGAGTTTGCTTCTACGATAAAGGGTCTATGGTCTGCCTGCACCATTTCTGCTTCACCCTTGTCATTCCAGAAAATCAGGCACTGGTGGAGCGATGAAGGTATGTAACGACTCTCGTGAATCGAATCCCTTCCTAGTAGCACAGTGGCACTAGTAGGACCATCTATTACAAAAAAGACTGTGGTCCTAGTAGTTGTCCCCATGGTTATGTCCAGTGAATGACTCCTTTAGTCGAAGTTGCTTCCCCATTGAAATTTGTGAGAATAACTTCTGTTGGGATCATTCACTTTTTTGTCTTTACAAACTTCCTCATCATCCTAGACGGGGATGGTATTTATGGCTGCTTCATTATCAATGAGCACTTTCGCCACATGTATACCATTGACTAAGGCCTTCACGTACGATGACCTCAAATGTTTAGTCAATTTCATGGTTGGTCTCTTGAAGATGACATTTTCAGTTGCATCTATTTCCACTTCCTATTTGTCTTCCGTTGAATTATTTCATTGTGATAAATCAACATGCAATATTTCGCACTGATTTTTTGCTTCTTGGATTTCCTTTCTACTTTCCTCTAGTGCTTCTTCTTCGATTACCCATCCTATAGGGGGAGACAATATTTTTGGAGGTGACCCATACTTCGCAGAGCGAGGCACTCTCTTCTTCCTTTTGGGTGTCCCGTACAACACATAGTAACCAAATGAACGTCCAGATGGTTCTCCCAACAAATCTACCTCGCGAACACCTTCCTGATGTAGCTGTTTCAACAACGTATTGTGTGACACTCCCCTCTTTCTTCTATTTGCTTCCAAGTCAATTTTTTCTTCGATGTTCGTCATACCATCATCCTCTTCCTCATTATATACCCTTCGAGATGTTTGGCCTTCTTTACATTCCAGCACACATGTTTCCTCCTCATTATCCTCATCTTTATTCTCTTTGTTTTTGAATTCATTGGCTAATAAATAATTATTAGCCATGACAGGAGGTAACATTCCGAACTGTATACTGAGGGGTTACTCTGGATCTTCTTCATCTCTTTTCTCTCACTCAAACTTTGATCTCCCGGAAGAACTTTCTGGTAACTCCTCAATTGATTCACCAATACTAGTCTCTTTACTATCTTCGAGAACGTTTTGATTAGCCACTTCGAGCAATTTGGGTGCCTTAGGACGAGACAATCCTTGTTGTTACGTTATCAGTCATCCATAATTTCATTGAAAACGCCTTTGTTGAGTTCTAATCATCTCATTGAAATGTATCATCCTTTCCTGCATTATACTGGAATGAATGACATATATTTAGTTGGCAAGGTTGCGGCTTGAATGTCTTCCCATTATTCATTGGCCTGAACTGTCTTTCAAAAAGCGGTCCTCTATAGATGATGTTCCTCACCCTCCAACAGGTTGGATATTTGAGACAAAATTAGGGCAATGGTGATGTTGCCATACTCCCGATCTCTCCACATTTGCCTCTACTTCTTTTTTGCATCTAGTACACAAGGTGCCCTCATCTTTTCTAGACTCTTTCCCTTTGATACGCTCGAAGACCCTGGGATGTGGTTTAAAATATTCTTCTCCATCGTTTACAACCAACTTGAATTTTGGCAACTTGTTTTTAAACCTGTCATCACCATGTTCACCCCAAGTGGCTGTGGGAAAATATTTTCATCCATTGTCATTTTCTTTTTATCTTCGAACTTGATCCGCCCTGACTCGATGACATCCTGTAATACATGACGAAAGACTAAACAATGATTAGTCATATGTAGCCATGTATTATGCCATATGCAATATTTTTTTACCCTTAATTTGCTCAGGGTCTGGCAATTTATGCTTGTCGCTCAATTTTATCTACTTATCCTTAGACAGTTTGTCAAATATAAGGTCAACTTTGGTCACATCAAATGAAAACGTTCTAGATTTTTTGTTTTCATTTTTTATATACTCATTCTTGCCCGACGCTTGAGGTTTGGCCATCATAGGACAAGCATATGCATCTCCCTTAATTAATTCGGTCAAATATATTTCAGTTTGATCGTAATATTCNTCAATTTTATCTACTTATCCTTATATAGTTTGTCAAATATAAGGTCAGCTTTGGTCACATCAAATGAAAACGTTCTAGTTTTTTTGTTTTCATCTTTTATAGGCTCATTCTTGCCCGACGCTCTGGGTTTGGCCATTAAAGGATAGGCATATGCATCTTCCTTAATTAATTCAGCCAAGCATACTTCAACTTGATGTAATATTCGTCGTCAATAGTATGAACGTCAAAATTTGGGTCTCTATAATAAGTCCCTTTACTAGAGTTTTTCATTTGTTTTTCTTCTCTTATCAATCGTTCATATCTAATCACATTCGCGATAAGTTGAAAAAGATCAGGAAATTCCTTGTCCTGGAATTTTTTTTTCAAATCAAAGCTCAAACAACTTTGAGCGATTCTGACAAGTTCTTTCTCGGGCAGAGGTACAAAACATTTGCTCATGGCTATTTTAAACCTCTGAAGGAAACCTTTTGCCAATTCGTTTGGCATTTGACGTAAATTCGCCAAATCGGCTAAAGTGACTTCAGATTCAGTCTTAGAAAACTGAGCGTGAAAAATTGTTCTAGTTGTTGTCATGTTTGAACAGAGTTTGCTGGCAAATTAATGAACCAGGAGAAAGCTACTCCTATTAAAGAATTAGGGAACAGTCTCATTTTATGATAGTCAGTTACTTCACCATTTTACAGTGTGAATCGCCTTATATGTTCCAGAGTAGACACTTCCCCTAGACCAGTGAACAATGAAAATTTGGCACTTTGTACCCTCCAGGCCACGAATATGCTCGATCTACCCAATTAAGATATGACTTTATATAAGTCAGCCTAATAACATGACGTACCCCAAAAGCCATTTGATCATGCACTATTTCCATAATTTAATTCCTCAACATAACATTGGGATCACATGGAACTCCTACAAGTTGGTTCATTGGTTGAGTTACTTGAGGCCTAATATTTGGTCATTGATTGGCGACAAAAAGGCTGTTATTCAGACCATTATTACCGTTAGTCCGAGTGTTTCCGCCATCATTGACACGCGGGGTGTTCTGTCCATTACTTTTGACATTGTCTCTTAAATTTGGGTTACCCCCCAGGTTTAACATCTCATTACCACCATTCAAGTTCGGCATTCCACTACCCCCTGGTTTGAAGTAGATGGTCCGAAGGTGGTTCTATTCTTTGATTCGTACTCAGGACTTGAGAATTATGTCCACAATCGTCTTGGCTTGAAAGTGGCTTGCAATTGGCCCAATTAGCTGACACATTTGGCCCACTAACTTGTTCATGAATTCATTTAATGTATTTAGTTGTTTAGCCATATTTCATAATGTACATTCCCATTTTGGGTAAATCTTTCCATATTATGAACATTTTGTAGCTTTACCTGTTCAACGACATCTTGTGTGAGTTCCCCAAGCAATGCGCGCATGGTTCCAGGACTCAACTCTGTCATTAGCTCGTAGCGACTTTGACTGCTTTGACTCTGTCCCTCTGTTCATGGAGAGCTTTGTTGCTCCTCATATCACTCGATCACATATTGGACTACTCCTTGGCTTGCTGGTTCTTTATCAGAATTCTTATGAGGCATAATGCTTCACTTTTTATATCCTCAAACACCAATTGTCCTATCGGGCGTGCCAAATTATTTCGCGTGGGTTATCACTAAAAAATAAAAGATAGGTTCAGACGATTTGTGTAAGGAACAAACCTCTTGAGACAAAGTTCCAAACATGGGTGCTTTATTTATGAAAATTACAATTGGGAAGAAGCAAAACGTCTCCAAGGGGCACAAGCACAATAAGTAAATTGAAAATTTACACTTAGAAAGTAAATGAATTGAAATTACATATTCTCTGTTGAGAGTGATTGATTCGAGGTCCCTCCTTCTATGTTTTCTTTTCCTTTTTATACTCATTTGACGATTTTCTCTGTAGAACTGCATGGAAACTACTTGGCGCTCTATAACTATCCACTTTCTTCGTGATAGCTGACTTATCAAGGAACTGCCGTTTGCAACTGTTGTTACTGCTCTTGTCATTTAACCGCTTGCAACCGAAATTCTTGGATCGTTGCTCAATAATCGATTCACTAACCGTCATTTTAAGTAACCACAAGATACTGTATTCGCTCAAATCTTGAGCGATTCGAAGGCTTGGGCGAGAATGAAATCATCTTTCTGGGCGACAGGAAAGCACTTCATTCGCTCGGATCCTGGGCGTCCTACAAATTTGGGCAATTATAGTACTTTGTTTATGGGCCTCTACTATATTATACAATGTTTCATTTGTGCCTATATCTTGAACTCCCTAATTGGGCTCCAGTTCTTGGATCATTTAATTGAGCTTCATTTTTTGTATGTCAACAATACTCAATCGATCTAGGAGAAGGTACATGGTCGATTAACACTCTCATTACTTCGCCCTTAGAAGCTTCCATTTTCCATTTTAATTGCTTTATTTCTTTTTCTATAAAATAAAAATCTAATAAGCAAAAATTGACATGTCGCGTACCCCAAAATCGCAGATTGCGATGAATAATTTTTATTAATTCATAGAAAATTGTGGCTGATTAAAGAGAGCAATGGAGACTCACATCGATCACAACATATTTGACAGACACCTCATAATCAAGTTCAGAAACCCTGTTCTTATGTTTGATAAGGTAAATTTGAGGTGATTACAATACTAAAGAGGATAGAATTGTCTCTATCCTACATTCCTACTTGTGACTTACCATTTGTGTGGTTGGACGAACTGTAAGTGTTATGCCCTAAGTCTAATCAATTTTGGATATAAACA